ATGTGGGGTTGCCACTCAGATATTCAGTTTCATTAAAAAGGCTTCAATGAACAAATGTTCAAGAAACTGGAGTGTGATTAATTAACACATGAACATTTCACTCTTTTAATCGTAAAATTTCAAAGAAACGTTTTTTTGCAGCGTGAACATCTAAAGCCGCAGCTGGACAACAACAGAAATTGCTGGCTCAATATTTGATGGAATTATTTATTCATTCTCGAAGGCCTCGTTAGAGATTGCTTTTCACTCATATGCAGCTGATAAACCGCGACAGGTAGGCCCAACAGTACGAGTAAAAACAATTTATAATGGTGCTGCTCATAGGATTAACTCGAAGCAAATTTCATTGTCACCTTCGTCTGAACTTCCGGGTACAGTCACACACGCCGGAGGAGGACAATTTTTAGCTTTTACTAATTTCTAGTAAACGTCTGCACATGGGCAACCCACTGCATTTATGCCTCTCGAATCGATTTTATCTCTGGCAACATTATTATATAATACGAATATGATAGATAAGCTGAGATTGCAATGATTGGAGGGAAGCTGCTGAGTCGTTATTTTATGGGATGCGTTGGTCAGTAGCAGGCAAACACTTCGTCTACTTTTCTCTCTGTCGCTCTCTCTCTCTCTCTCTCTCGCTCTCTCTCTCTCCCTCACTAACTCTCCAGCTTTCCCCAAAGAAGAAGAAAAGGAAGGATTTTTCAACGCCCTTATATTCTTAGTGAGCATCGAACGCTATCAGAAACAGTGACCATTTTGAAATTCACAGCACGTTCAAATTGGCCTCGGCCGCATAGCTTTCCTGGTAGCCTACACTAGCTAGAACGCTGCGACCCTGCCGCGTGGAATGTTCTCTCTCGCATTAGCTTTCTGCACTTTTGTTAGAATTAATCCATGCGCATTACGGTGACACCCAGCTAATCGGGCACTGCGTTTCCATAAAACTACGCTTGCAACATTTAGTAATTCGGCAATAATTTCACATTGACAACTTGTTGTTATCAAAATTTTGTAGCGGACAAAGTGTTCGAGCTTCATTACCAAACAACCAGCTGGCAGCGGCATATCGGTACCATTGGGCAGGCACGACGAGTGGCTGATTGGGTGCCCCAACTCGGGCGTTCGCGCACTACATCGATAGACATCGATAAGACAGATGAGCAACGGACGCCCGAGGCAAAATCAGATTAATCAAATAAAATTACCATCAGTTATTCTACATGGACTGCCAGCGCTGTACGTCATAGTTATAATTCTTGGTACCACTGTCGCACCGGCTAATACTGTCGCTGCGATCAGCTGAGTGATAGAGGCCGCTTGGACACTGGATAAGCAGATTAAGACTAGAACTGAGGCCTGTTTGCTATCAGCACCGCAACAACGATCTCGAACGAGCGCAGCGATAGAAAATGAGCAAATAACAACAAGAGCAGCAGTAGCAGTATTACGAAAAAAAAAAAAAACATTGAGCGAATAATGTTAGCAGAGGTTATAATCGCAATACCTCTTAACTGGATACAATTTCCACTGCTGACTGTTCCAATACAGGTAACTAGTAACAACCATGCAATTGTGCTCAGAGCAATTGCTGAACTTTTTTTTTACGCTACAGTTAGTGTTAAGTTGCAAAGTGCGTCAGTGCTTTTGATGTATGACAAAAACAATGCTCGAAATAAATCCAAACTAAGTTTCAAACTGCTTCGAAGGAAACAAACCAAGGTCGCCTTAGTCAATTATGAAATACAGTATAAGCTCGTATATAATTTGCCCAAATTTCCTTCGGAAATATTTTTCGCCAATCAAAATTCCAATTTGTTCCGCTTGGCTCCTATATGTCGCTGCGACATCAGCCTATCTCCCCAGAATTCGGCACAAAAACAATACGGAAATCCATATCGAAAGTAAACCTTAACCAAGACTGAAACGCGGCCAAAGTTACAAAACGAACTCTCGTGGGTACTCTGCGGCAGGAGTTAAAATTAGCATTATTCCAAGCCTTTTTTTGGAAATTCGGATCTCGATCCAAATTCCTTCCTTTTGAAACTGAGTATCATATACACAACATCGTCATAGACATTTATCAAGGTCGTATACAAGCCATGTTCGTGGTTCCGGTGAAACGGGATTTGGGTATGAAATATAAGGGTTGTTTCCTGCTTCTGCTGCTGTCGCCAACTTGTAGCGCCTGCCGCTTCAAGGCGATGGCGGCAGTTGGCAGTAACTCTTTGAGGAAGGGACAGACGGGAAGTCGTTGCTCATCATTTGGGATGTGGCCAGCCTGAATCAGGACCGGCACCACTGCTCCCGCAGATGACTTCGGATGAAAATGGGATTACTGCAGTTTCTGTAACCACCACACCTTGGCCCACAACGTTCTCTTGAAGGTAGCTGCTGAGGACAACCCGTGGACGATGTCTTGCTTTACCCCCTTTAACCAACAGAACAATACAACGTATTACGTTGCTCACCGTATCCTTCTCCCTCTCTCTCCACGCTCTTTCTTCTTTTCAAAGACCCAGAAAAGAAGAGCATATGCAGGAACAAGCCGCTGCAATGTAGCTAGAAGCTCATCTTGACTTTTTGCTAAGACATTGCGAGGAAAAGAACTGGTATAAATATCATGTATCATAAAATTCTGTCCTCTTGAATAACGTCTGAAGATATGCTGCAACGTTGGTATTAGTTACTGTGTGGACATACGAGTAGATATGTCTGTTAGGCGCCTGCCATCTCTAGCGTATCTTTTCGACGGAAACGCCTAGAGCAGAGATAGAGGCCAATCAAAGCGAACTAATGAAAGACAAGTCACCAGGAGCGCGTAACAATAATGAGACAGCAACGGAACCGAAATCTGCCGATGGTTCTTAACACTCCATCAATACCACCCTCGGCAGCGGTTGACTAATAGCGGAGGGGTATGCGGCAGAAATGGTCGTATAGGTATGTGTCAGGCTAGCCGTATCTGCTTCCGTTATAGAGGATGTCAGTGGGATCAGCGAAGCGACGGTTACTGTGACAGCCACCTCGTTGCGCTCCAACTGAACCTTGAATGCGCCCTCGAGTTTTCAACGAAATTATGGGCACACGAACACTTGCTGGCTTCATTCGTCGACTCTGTATAGCTGGAAATGAGGCGACGTCCGCCTATGGGTACCCAACAGGAACTAACGCGACGTGTACGCCAAGGACACTCAGAGGATAGCGCTAACGGACAAAGGACCGCGCGTAGGTTACGAAGAGGGGAGCACAAATCGAATAACCAGGAAGGCCCTATTTCATACGCGGCCACGCTTGGCCCAGTGGCGGCAAGCAATGCCTACTACATAACAGCCTGATCACAGCGGACAATGAATAATGACGACAGTCAAAGGTGAACCACAACTGAGATACCGTCCACTGAATCTCATCACTAAGGTCATTTTATTCTTATGCACCTTCATATTTGCCAATAGCGGTTTTCCTGTGACTTCGCCAATGGTTCGCCAATGACCAATGGGTTGGTCCATGCCCTCTGAACCTTTCAATATGCCAACAGAAAACCTGTAAAGAAAATTTCAATAGCAGATCCTTTTCGATATTGTGTCACCTCCGTTCGACTCATAATTAGCTTAACAGTATATAACTAACTGCTCCAGTTTATGTATGCGTTCTATCTGGCCAGCTTGGCAAGAGCCTTATGATTAATATATCCCAGAGCAAGACCCTGCCATCAATAATGTTATAAACGTCGATATTTGAACACGAGCAGGCGAGTATTTTATGCATACCCGAGAGTAGGGTTTTTCACTTAGATATTTGTTTTCAGAGAGTTGAGAAGGACACTAGACCTGCGCCTAGCTCCCTGCATTCTTCTATTTTTTGGCTCAGTTTATTCCATTTGAGTTAAAAAAAAAACGAATTTATATATTTGAATGGATAACGTCTGCCTTTTTGGAGCTGGCAAAGGACAGGGCATAAGATAGACGCCGCTTTCTTATGCACTTTCACTTTCCAACGAGAAGTTTACCCCTGGCCCTGCTCGAAGGCTTCAAAATGTATCCAAAATAGGCACAAACTCCAGCCCTTTATTTCCCTGTATCCCGTCTTTTACTTTTTCATGCTTTTTTTGCGAAGTCTTTTCTTTTTCGGTTGGTAGAAGCTGTCTGAGGACAGCTCCTCAGATCCGAGCAGTTACTTTCAGCTAGCTTTTTTTTTCGCGAAAAGTCAGAAGTAGTGAGTTGGGAAATGTTGACAATGTTGAATTCCAGGATGGCGATAGTGCAATTTAAGGCATTCTTTTTACCGTACCAGTGGCATAGAGTCGACAGCAGTGTAGACTTGTTTTCCAGACAAGCCCTATTTGGCTGCGGTGCAAAACAAGATGTTGCAGTGGCCGCGTTCTTCATGGGGCGCACGATAGCTAGATATCCCCATTCGTTCATGTCGGACACGGCAAATCGCCGACTGCTAAGGTTTAGGTAGTATCCAGATATAGTGGCGTGATGAACAGAACCGTCTGGATATTACATAGATAGACGACAGGAGATCGGCGACGATTATTATGATGATATCGCTAAGGTCGGAGCCTTCTTGGCATAAGCGCAAGTGAATAGTTGCAGGAAGTAGTTCCTTAGATAGTTCCACGATGACTACGAAGCGACACAACACAGTAGTAGCAGTAAGTATTAAGTAAGAAAGTCAAGAGAAACGTACGCTGACTTTTCGTAATTATTAATAACATAAATGTATGTATACATTCTGGTTCAAACATCTAACCCGGAGTGGACAATTGTTATATATAATTATACATAGTTGTATAATAATAAATACTTGTACAATTTATATTGAGTATGAAGGTTCATGAAACACAGCTAATGTTTATCTAGTTATAGATTGGCAATACGATTTTTCAGAATAGGACCTTTGTCCTTCGACTTTCATTGCTACACGGTTTTTTTAGTAGCCAGGTAGACCTAGCACCCGTTTGTAATATTGAGTTATTCTTACCTTATATATAGAGAGAAGAAGTAAGTAACAAAAATCAAGGACAAACATCGAGCCAGCAATGCAGAAAGCGAAAGTGGACACTTCAAACATTTCTTTTTACCAAGGGAAATAAACTGTATCAGCTACTATCTTCTTTAACTCATCGCCGTCAACCGAGCAGGTTAGTTATTTTTAATCTAAATCAATATTTTTTTTCTATTTAAAAATAAACAAATAGAGAGGGCATCAGCCATAGTTGTTTGTGTCTAAAATCTGAAGGCGTAATTGCAGGATTCGGAGGCCGCTTACCCTCCCGACTTCCCAAACCCAACGGTTTCCCCAGCTTTCTCGTGGTCGAGAGGAACTCACAGAAGAGTAAAGTAGAACGAAATAGAACAAGAAAATAGAAGCGTCCACAAGGTGTCTGACGGAGCTAGTACTCCCGAAGGCAGTGTTCGGCTAAACCCGTTCACCAGCGAGGAGCCGTGGCGACACCTGGTGGAAGAGTCCTGCGTCATTTTCGTGGATCATTACATTAAAAATGACTAGGCATATCGGATCAACGCTGGAAAAGTCGGTGCTAGAACAGCAACAACGCTGATGAAAGTAACGAAGGCGAGTTGTGTCGTTAACTGAGGTGAACGCGATAGCGGTCACGGGCCAGGTTTGGTGCTTTCGTTTTTTTTTGCTCTCTCACGTTTCCTTTGCTTCTCTCTTCCAGCCCCTTACGTTGCTGTATTCGTGTCTGCGCGTCTGTCCACAAAGCGTCGCCTCGAATTAGGCTAGCTAATGCCTTCAACCATCATTAGCATGTCGGCAAACAGTTCGAATTCGTGCCGTCCTTCAGAGTTCGTTAATTACGAAATCAAAGAGGGATGAAGAGAGCGGGCGACACAAAGCAACTTCGTTGGGCCAGGGACAAAAACTGGTATAGGCCGGTTTGCGTGGAGCTTTAGGAAACAAAAAAGGATAATGTTAAGCTGAAGACAAAAGCTACGGCAACAATGGGGATATTTATGAGGATAGAACGGGTGCAAGGAGGGTTGATTGAAGTGAATCAGCGACAAAACAGTTTGTTTGTGACGTGGCAATCCACTCTGCAGAACTGTATTCCTCTATCTGCGCGATAAACGAACAGAGCGAAGCAGGGCAAAATGCCTGGGGCAACGAGCCAGCTTGTCAAATATTGCCTATCAACTGCCAAATATACGTATGTCATAGTGAAGAACATGACGGTATAAACCAAACATTTATATTTGTATAGGTATGCGTGCGTACGTGTATATGTATATGCTCAGGCAGGCCGAGTATTCGCCACGTTCTTTGATAGTGCTGGTGCTGTCCAAAAAGGATATTAATGCCGGAAAACTTTAGCCACTATCAACATCTTATTCCAATCTATTTGTCGTTCCTTCATACAAATAAGTGGGTTCTAAATAGGGTGGGCCGAATAATGCTTGGCACGATGATCTGTAGGTAAATATCCGGCAAGGCTGATACTTATCGAAACTGTTGACCCATGATTCTGTGATCTTCAGACAACATTATTCCACGTCAAGGAAAAAAGGGGAATATTGACTACTGCTGCTGATACTGCCGCTAGAGGCCGATGTTCCGTAGTGGTTGTCGTTGTTTGTTAAGCATCACTTAATACCAAATGCAGGCCGTGCTTGAAGTAAACATAAAAACTCTTCTACTATTAAATGAAACCTTAGCAGGATAGGTCCTGATTACATCGCCCATGGACTGCATTCAATCGTCCATCAGTTTTCTTTCTCGTATAATTTCATGTCATCCGTATATTTCTTCCTGCCGTAGAGAAATGATTAATGTGCTTGTATAGCATAAGCACATTAATCGTTCGAATTGGCGTCTAGCTATCTCGCTGTGTTTTGTTTAGCGACATTTATCCTAAATATATAACCCTTTCTTGTATCCTTTCCCGCATATACCTTTGCGCGTATCTACTAAAAATGTGCGGAGATCCATTTCGAGAGGGGACGAATTTTGTATAATAAGACATTTTAAAATCTTCGTTCAGATTAACTTAAAAACTCTTCAAATCCTCATGAAGCACACCTGATGTATGTGACCCCTAGTGAATACGTTTTGCCCCATTTGCATCCTGTGAGAGTTATCAGTGCACACGTCAAACTTATCAGCGATTTTATTACAACGAGTGTAATGATTCGTCCCTTTCTTAAGATGGAAACTGACGTCATAGTGGCCGGTAGTAAAACAGATAATATATATATACGTAGTATTATAATAATTTTGTATTCTAGAGCAGTTTATCACCTCTCAGCACATTAGCGCTATGATAACGAAAGGGTTGATAAATGCGAAACGTTAAAGAATGAAGCAATGCCCTCTGCAATTGCCTCTATCTGTGCTCATAAGTAATATGCAAAGTGCGCATAGCCTGTAACACACTTTGCTCTCTCTCTCTCTCTCTCTCTCCTATATATATATATATATTCTACTGTTAATCAGAGATAGACAGGTGCGCTTACAGCCTTCACTACAGTAACGCAAAAAGTCGTCATCAATCTAGCCGATCGTATAGACAGACTCTCTACGCAGCAGTGATCGAAATACAGAAGAGAACAACGTAGGTAATGCAAATGGACCCGTGCGGATGATTCGTTCACTGGCGGCCATATCTGTCGCCTAGAAAGCCTTCCCCGGAGCGACCTATACATGGTTTGACCTGGGCCATCTGTCTGTAGCGCAGGCAGTGGCATATATCGTATAGTACAGCACATTAATATTAGAATTGTCACACTGCGATTATTATTACTTAACCACAAGTTAAGCGCTACTAACACGAGCTTTGCCGTAAGTGCTTTACCTACTAACATGGCAGGTAGGACAGGAAAAGGCGACGCCGGTATTGTCTCCATTGCCAGTACGGTCGCCATATGAAAGGCTAATTAACGAGTCGATGGGTCACTGATGACTGAAGTTCTACTGATCAGTAGATAAGCTTTTGCGCTCAGTAACCTTAGAGTCCTAACGAGGGCGAACCTCCGTAACTGTATATGGTTGGTCGTTCAGTGGAAAATATTGTAGCATCGAAGCAGCGGAGTTGAATGTATATATATATGTATTGTGTTACTGCACGCTTCCTCTTTTTTTAGTATAGTTTATAGAGCTTGAAGGTTTTTTTTACAGTCGAAATCGTTGAGCTACTATTTTAGCATTGAACTATCAGTCATTCAATGTGTAAGATAACGACTACGGCTCTTGTAGCTTCTGTTTTCTGATATATGCGGTGTAGATAGCAAACTTCACGGTCTACACCTATGTAGTTTCTTACTGTACGCTAATAATGCATAGCTTGGTAAATGTATTGAAACAGCGCTATGAATTCGTTATTTTGTTTTGACCTTTTTTTTTTTGCTCTACAAATGAGCCGTGTGCTGTTTAACACCCAGACGATGTTTACCCGAGTTTCTCTCCTTTAACGTTATAAGTAAAATCCCACAATAATAATTTTTGAAGGCTCCGTCAAAGACAAATGTCCTGCTGACAACGATGTTGCGCTATTGAATGTACACGGGTCCTTAACGTGCCATTGGCCAAGAACAGCAATAACACCGAGAGCAGCAAAACGATTGGGTCTCTGTTGTTTCGAGGGTAGTTTTACAAAATAGCAAATAAATTTAGTGAACAAATCTAAACCTTTTTATTCTAAGCATTTTTTTTGTTGGTCGTACGTTTAGTACAAATGCGGGTGCGGGGAATGAAAAGCTGAAGTTTTTAAAGAGAATGAGCTAGCGGGTTACCATCTAGAGTTACATTTCGTTTAGGTAACTAGCTCCCAGAAAGGGCTACCGCATTATGACCCGTTGGGCCTCCAAGTCGGTGCTTCGTCGTTGTATCAAACTGCCTCTTTCTGATCTCTACGTTCTATTACACCATCAACACTTCTCTGCCACGTACCAGTATGACCATTGCAGAATTCCGAAACGATGAGCCTTTCTGCTCCTTTCAAGAGGTTTGCTTTAGCCGCCGGTTGTTTTGTGAAGAAAAGCAAGAAGTTATACACATAGTAGAACTCACAGGCGGAGACACTCAGGCTCACAATTCAAATTACAAACGGTACTCTAAATTTCTAGTCGTTCTCTTATCTGGCTGCTTGCTGGTGATACTTTTTTGCTGGTTTCGATGGATGCTCGGTACTGCTAGGTTTCAGGTTTACATAAAAAAGCAAGGTCTTCGTATATTGCTTGTTTAACTAGGTCGTCATCCAGGACAGTCCACCAAGAGCAGCGAAGTCCAGCGAGCTTGACTGAGTTTTGCCGTGCAGCACAGAGACTCTAGTATATGTTTCGAGTAGCGGCACTAACAGAGGGTAATGAGGCTGGTCCCGAAGGCTTCAAATCCGGTGGCTCACTGTCTGATCACAATGTCCTACCATGGGCGGACGCCAGTTCCGTTAGGTAACATATTCAGGGAAGATTTTGTGTTCCAGAGCAGATGGACGCAAAAACACTTACGTATACAGGAAGTACAGAGATCCTTACGATGGAAAATCAGAATCATGATTAGCATCAGAACAACATTATATATCTGTAATTATCTGCTTCTAGTTCGTCAGCACTAACTTCGGTTACGTTACGCACGAATCTGTTGTACGCAATTGCTGATTATTGCCCTTTACAGTCTACACGGGTTACGCTAGCCCTTTTTTGCGTCAGCGGGCGGCTGATCTATGTCATACGTTCTGGACAATTATTTACGTTGCTCGATGAAATCAATACGCCGGACAAATACATTTGATGGCGTCTTCACTGAATCATTGCTCACTGTTTTTGGCTCGCCTTCTATGCGCTCACACTCCGGGTAATTTGCGTACCATTCAATAGAGGCTCTCAGTAGCACCAGCAGAGATCCGAAGCAAAGATAGTTCATACCAGTGTAGTATTTTTACCGTAAAAGCAAAACTTGATTCGCCGCTTGTGCTCTCAAAGCTGAACGAGCGATTAAAACTGACAGTGGTTCAGAGTGAGAGTTCAGAATGCTCTGGAGAGGAGGTGACCAGCAGTCTCGATATGGAAAAGCCGGAGAGGGCGTTGTTTTCGTCCTGCTTACGATGAGGTTAGCAGTATTGAAACGCAAGGCCAACATCTCCACCTTCGAATGAAACATTGGGCCACTCCCGTAAGGAGGCACTAGGCCATATCCATAAGGGATAGCGCTCATAAAACGGGGCATCGAGAACCGGTGCCAGTATAACGGCTACTTTCTACTTACGTCTGTTCTTTAAAAAAAAAAGCTCAAAAACTGCTTTCGGCCTAAGCTAGTGCTCTTCTCCAGCTCCTTTCGTTTTTTTTCTATCTTATTTTTCGTTTCGCTGACGCGTCCAACACACGTACTGGAGGACGTTTTTTTCTAACCTCAGTTCAGCTACGTCGTCGCAACCCTACCGCGACCTTCTAATTTTCGGCACTTCAGATTCGGCAATTCAGACACACTATTCGGTTAAGCTACTTTTGATGGGTAGACAGTGAGTGCCGAGAAGTGTCCGGACGAAGTTAGTCTTTCCAAGACCGGTTTGTTGTCATGCTTCTGCTGTGGGGTTTTTTCCAGAAAAAGAAGAAAGATAGTACCATTTCACTTAACATAACCCTCCTATGCGGTCTGTCGGCTTGTCGAATCTGTCATTACCAGTGACCTTCAAATTGTTCAGACTCCTTACCCAGTAGCATATCTCAAGGATACAGCTATTGTTAAATTTTTTGCTTCTATAATTAAGATTGTAAACATACGCTCATATACTGCATCTACCTATTCGCACGTCTCTGCGCGTTCGAAGTTTTCTCTAAAGCTTAAATAAGTCTAGATTTCTTAAAATACTTAAAAAAAAAAACGCGCACGTAGGTCAAAGAAGCCTCTCCTGTTATTAAAATCAAAGCTGAAAAATCTCAGTGGAAAAATTACGTTGTGCAAATAATATTAAAAGAAATTTCCATAGATACTTATAAGAATGACGGTCAAACGCAATAGCAAAAATTGATATAAATAGTTCGCGATCGACACCCGTAGCAACAGTTGAACCTATTCGTGACTATTGAGAATCTACTGAACAATGTTTTCCATAGGGAATCTATTCGTCATTGATCTTCTGGTAAGATATGCCCAGTCTGGCTTAGTCACGAGACTACCGATGGAATACTTCGTTTGGTTATTATCGAGCTAGTGATTTTGAATTAGATCCAATCGACAGTTGTCTCGCCAACTCGTCACTTGTAATTAGGCCTTCCAAGGAATAGCTTGGGCTTCAATCACTACATAAATGTCAAGGTTTTACATGAGTTTCTAACCGCTGCCATTAACATAAAGTACAAACCAGAAGAAGTTCTACATGCAGTTCTATCCACATGGAGCCTCCAAGGTGGCAATAAGTAAAACACATTTACACATAAGACGAAATGGCAGCACACCGTAGCAGCCGCTAACCTGAGAGTACTTGAAAGTTCCATGTTAAACTTAGCATATTTTACAAGCGTGTCGGTTACCGAATACGTGCCCACACTCAATATACTGTACTAATGTCATTATTTTTTTATTACAATCTTCCGTGGAATCATTGTCCTATAGCTTCAATATCTTCCCAGTGGTAACAGATCTACCCCCCAGCCCACCCGCCACCCCTGAAACCTCGATCTTGCCCTTACTTACACTTTTCGCTTTCTAGCAGCGTCGTCTTGTCGTATTTCGATTAAAGGCACGAGCCTTAATGACAGGTCATTATTTCTGATGGCTGGATTCCAGCCAAGTTCAGCTTCATCAGCACACATACCACATAAAAGAACATCTCGTTGCCCCCACACACAGACACACGCGCGCACACACCCGCCCTCCCACCCACACACACATATATAGATGAACGAACAGTGATGAACGGAGTACGTTCCGGTGATCCGAGCGCAAAAAAAACAGTTGCTCGAGTCAATGTGGCCGCGTCCCATCTATGGGTCATTGGCACGCGATCTGAGTGAGGCAACAATGGCCGCTATGTCATAAAATAGCGAAATCTCTGGCAACTGCGGAAGACAATGTACCGAACTTACGACGCTGGCGAGCGCGCTGAAGGTGCATGAATCCGATGAGGAGCCTCAGTCGTGACCTCTTCGATGTTTTTCTAGGGATAAATCAACCATCCAAGTGAAAAACAAAAAGAGCTAGAGAAAACACCGAACGCAGATTTCGGAGCCGTAACAGCTAATGGGGTTCTTCAACAAAAAAAAGACAGAAGAGACGCCAAACTGAACAATAGGATTCACGCGTCCGAAAAGACAGACATCAGAAAGAGCACTGCAAGTGCCTGCAAGTGGCAACTATCGCTACCATTATCTCTGTTATCATTACGATACAGAAAATGTACGATACGGGAGCATTAGTGCGCGAGCCCGTAAAAAGCGCCTACTCGATGCGTTGTGATCAAACTGCAAAATTGACGACTGTATTCCAGCAGCTATAGAGACGGCCTTCTGGTGTGAAAATCTAAGCATAATATTTACCCACATCTTCTGGACACCCGTTTCGCCATTTCTTTCTAACACTTGTTTTCTTTAATAGCAGCTTCGAAATAGCAGTTCTCTTGCTCTATCAAGTGCTTTACTTTGAGTTATCGATCATCTGCGGAGGCGTTACCCGCCCACCCATTAGCCTTTTACAAGAATGGTCGACATCTTGTATTTTATTGGGCCTCGCCTGTCTTTTGGCCAATAAGTAGAAAAACACTGGCGCGCTAAAATTAAAGCACCGTACTCACGTATCATCCCATCCGCCGTTTTTATAACACTTAGCGAGATTATAGTTTTAAACTACACCAATATGGCTGGATCAGAGGCGTTAAGTTTACGCATGCGTATGCCAGTATTATCGTGTGTCAAAAATAACACGAGGAAAGATAACTAAAATTAGCTAATTCGAGTGCTTTGAAATCTAGTGGCGTCGGGTACTAACTAGTTTTATCGAGCATTTTTTCTTACTTTTTTCTTTTTCGTTTGGTTGTCACCGTTCCACATAGTATAACGTTTTCAAAAGCTTACGTTGCCAAATAAGCTAT